TACAACTCAAAGTGAACATGGACTGGCCGTGTGGGTAGGGGACAATAGGTGTATATCTGAATTAACAACAGGATCTTCCTCGACAACAGACGTCCAACTTTCGTCTACCAATACACTGGGACCACCGAAGGAGAATTTTTGTCAATGGTGGAGGCAACGGGCACAATACCGAAAGATATGACGGGATGTCGGCTTGTGCCTGTGGATACTGATTGATGACGAATACAAGTTGGATAGAATAATAGCTCGTATTATTATTCGGCCACTCGCTTTCAGTTTCGATATTTTGCAAGTTGTTGCTTAGATTTCACACGTATGTCGAACTTCTGTTATTCACTTCTTGTTTTATCTCATATTACAGTCGTGCCTGGTGGCCATTGTTTCTGAGGGCGCCCCAGATGTGGGCGAGTTCGTTTCTGGGTATGAAACCAGTTCGTCTCAGCTCAATTCTAAGCATCTGTTGGCAAAAGTGCTGGCGACGCCGTTCACTCAATGTACGTAGTTGAAATCGAAAGGCAGAGCTAACTGGTACTTGTTGGCTTGTGGAACACTTCAGTAATGTACTTGTTGTCCTTCCTCATTTTTTACAGGAGTTTGACTTTACGCGATGTTTAGGTTTTTCAAGGCTGTGAGTATTATTATCCGTTTCAGTGAGTTTCGGCCGGTTTGTGTTATAATGCATGCCACTGTTTGTGTTGTGCCCGATTGTTCTCCTATAGTCAGTTGTGCGTTTTGTTATAGAGTTGGAGTGATGGCTATCAGCTGCGATCATGCGGTGACAATTTTCTGTTTCGGCCATTGGAGCCACCGATCGACATGAGCACGCAAGTCGAGCACGAAATCAACGATCTCGTAAAAAATAATTGCCGTTTATAACTTGCGATTATCATTGTTATAGCAGCGTTTTGCTATTATTACGTGTAGGTAGCGTAAACGAGTTGTATCCTCTCTTGATAAGGTAATAGTTTTTGGCTGGGTGCCATGCGTTCGCCTGCGCGCGATTCGGCGGCGGCGGCGACAGTGCGTCATTTAACTAGTGCCGATGCTTTTGCGGTTTTGTTGCCCCCGCCACGGCACACGCTGCGCTTGCGTCGAATTTGTCTGAATCTGACCTGCTATCCTCTCCGTCTTCTTCATTGTCATCGCCCAACCGCCGCTTGGTGTAAAGCGCATGACGATCCGTGTAAAGTGTTTGCCGTGGTGAGGGGGCAAAGAACCGGGCCTTTCGTTGCCAACAACTTCTTCGTTACGTTCATCTGCAGGTGTCTGTTGTCGAAATCGGGTCCATACTAGATAGCTAATTTGGTAGTAATTGTTGAAAAATATTTTTTTAAGAATAGATTCATGTAGATCATTTCTGTGTTGTTAAAAATTTTTTTGGATTTCTTTAATTGAACTGTTGTGAATTTTTATACCATTTTGCTGAAAGTAAATTTTGCTTCAGCGTAAAAACCAGCGTCTTATTTTGACTTTATAAATATGTTGAAGAAATCGACCCTTCTGGTTGCAAATGTTGGAACGGCAGCGAATGACAGAAGCAGCTTCTGAAGCTAACGCACACCGCTAATATGAACAAGGCTCGTGAGACATTGGAAGAATCATCGGTAGTGGTTGATCATTCAGTTAACCAGCTGCTTGCGTTGTGTTTGAATGAAGCACGTTTTATGCTGTTTCCAACATCACTACCATCGCTCGAATGAAATACTCAGTTTATAACTATGTTATGTTAGTCGAAAGTTAGATGAACAGGTGTTTTAAACAAACCGCCGGACTGACGTTCATTATGATTTTGATACTTTCAGTCGAAATGAAAACAAAGTCAAGTGATAGAACTAACTAACGTAATGAAAAACGGATGCAGCATAAAAATGAAGATAAAGGAAAGCCGATAGTTTAATTATATGTATGTATCGAACAATACTGTTTCGAACGAAATTTTAACTAGCTTAAACGACATGCTTTATTGATCTTGAATGTGTTGCTTGAAAGTTTTTGGTTGTTTTGACTGAGATATTATGTTTGTCTCTTGACGAAGGAGCGCTATTTCCGGTTCTGAAAGTCTGATCTTGTGAGTTCATAAATTTCATAACGATTTCTGAAACATTGCTTCAGTCGCGGTTTTGATGGAGTACTGCAGTAACCTTTTATGTTCGCTTTTAGTGACTGATTGAGAATAGGTTGCTGAACAAGTAATTTCTCTATTCGATGAACCAGCGTTCTATGGCCTTTTGGTAAGAAGTTAACTTTAGAAGTTTATACCATCCTTACATCGAATTTTACCATTCTCTGCTCCATCGTCATTTTGCAACAGATCACGGCGGTCTGAGACGCGCCTTTGAATATTCTAGCGGAAACCTGTCGATGCAGTTGTTGACCAGTGACTCAGCTGCATGGGGATTACTTCTTTATGCATTAACTGCACGGATCCTCAGTTATTAGTAGGTGGATCATTATTGCTTTATCCTCTGTCTTACCTCAAAAGAAAATAAGTGTATGTAGGTACACGTTGGCAACAGCATGACAATTTTTCCACTTCTTAACAAATATTTGATTAAGGGCGTTTAACTATGAAAATTCGATAGTTATAGACACCATTATGACATCGCCGTTAACGTCTGAATTTTGCTCAGCTCTGTGGCAAACAAAACAATGATTATCATCTGGCTAGCAAATTCCTTGAAATGGTAAAATTTTAAATCTGTCGTATGAATTATTGTTTATTCCGTAAACTTGTAACAATAGAGCTGTGATAAAACGTGACCGCTTGCTTTGCCAGAATGCCAAGCCAGACAATAATGGCGGTTCATACTGAAACCATGAAACATATTGGAATCATCTTGTTCATCCGATATTTGACTTTGCGAAGAGCATTTCTTGTCTGTCTAATCTGAAGAAGTATCCTATGATTAGTGTAGTTTAACCGAGATGCTGGCAATGAGGAGTTAAACACCTTAATAACGATGGTCCTCTGTGTCGATGACTTTCGAATGTATGCCTTTCTTCATCTTAACGTTTTGTGTATCAGAAATTATCATCATCAGCAGTCGTTGTTTGCCACATCCTATCAGAGTCACCATGGGATATCAAACATAAGGGGAATGACGCGGCTAATTAATGGAATTTATTTCTCGCAATGAAAACCAGCCAAGAGCCTGATGCCTCAAAGTTATGCGCGGCTGCACCGAATTCCGCGCCTGTCTGCTTTCATAGAGTCTTTGCAATATCAGCATTTCTGTGGTTTTCAATCGACAACGTTGATGGACAACGAAACGGTTGATGCTTTATGTTGCAATTTTCAGTACAATTTCGAAATGGCGTTTGCCGGAAGTAATACAGCGAATTCCGATGCATCAGCAAATTATCTGTGTGGATAGAACTGAAAATTCCGTAGCCGCTGAATTCCTGTGATTGGCCTTCGGATATTCTGCGGTCGGCTTTTAGTCGGATGTTGTCTAAAGAAAAGAAGGATAGAAATACGTATTTGCACTTAAAACTTGCGCTTCCATACTATTTTATCGATTCGGGACTAAACGTTAAGACCAGTGCAAAAATGGTTCAGATGAAATTTGACTTAATGTTACACAATATATGTCCCAACGTAGGTTCCACGACCAGTGATCTATCAGTAATATGGCCACTATTATCACCGCTGCCTTGTAGTTGTAGTACCTGAGAAAGTCAATTGCTCGAAAAGACAGTTTCGATAATGTACTAGTCGGCTGATAGGAATCAAACTTGTGAAAATTCGTTTCGACGCTTTACAGCAGCGATTGCAGACGTTATTGGATCCAGCTAAATCAATCATGGTGACTCCGTAAAAATGTTACTAATGTTCAAATGATAATCGATGGCTAAGTGACAAAATTGGAAGTCAAAATTTCTTTTTCGATGAATGTTTAGTTTGGATTATTCTTTTGATGTTATTCTCTCTATAATTATATTCTCTCTATAACCTCGCCGTTCTCGTCATGTAAGGCACCGAACGGCCAGAGAAAAAAATCGTACGCTAGGAAGCAGGTAAGGTGAGGAGCATGTACAACTTTTTAGCTGCTGCGGCGTCCTTGAAGATCACTGAGCATAAGAATATTACTCCTCATGTACACGAAGAATAAAGGCAGAAACAAGGCTTCACTACTGATATCAAGAAAGGGAGGGAAAAAATCTCTTTCGCTACTTTGAGGTCAAGATCAGAATTTGAAGATATTCCAGATTTCTGTTATCTTATCCTTAGTTCTTACCTACACATTTCTTTTGTCATGTAATTGCGAGGCTTTGGCAGCACCTGACATATGACATCTGCTGTTTCACAACAACCAGTTTGCCTGCTTCTGCCAAATGAAGAAAAATGGCTGGCGGATTTGTATCATAGCGTTAATTCATCTACTCTTCGAAAACAGCACTAGTTTTGATAAAGCTACTTAAATGAGGATGATGATAATTACAAAAAGGTGCATAAAATGATGACCATGGAAAAATGCCTTTTGCTGCTGAGCTGTCAATCTACCATGAAAATTTATGCGAATGGAATTTATTGAACCTTTTCTTCATGCAGCCTGTGCTGTCCACTGATGTCCCATGTGAAACTACCATCCAGGAGTGTTACTTTTTAAGAGAGCATCGACAATTTTGCAGCTACTACGATCCATGGATTTCTACTTCATGCTTCCTTCCTTCGTTCGTATGTGTGTTGCACATTAATCTCCTTTCAAAGGCTGAAAATGAAGTGATCAGACAAGGATTCGAATCAAAGAAATTTGAGCCTGAGGCTTTAACAACTGAGGTTCATCAATCATTGAGATAATCACGATCATCCTAAATAACGTCACCTCTTCCTAATCTTAATCAAATGATAGCGATTGAGCTTATGGATGGGTGAGTTGCAGGTAATGTGCACCTAATGCTTTCCGTAGGGCATTTCCAAGTCCGCTTTTTGCATGCTGATTGTTAATTCTGTTTTAAAGATTTTTAATTCTTCAGGCTTTTCTGATTCTGCTCTTGAGTAAAATATGGAACATATACAGGTGGTTGCGAACAAAGTATCGAATTTCACCGGTGATCGAATCTATGCTCAGTTTTAACAGCGTTTTTTCTGAGCTGTCGTTTGAAAGCATGTTATTCAAACGTACCTGATATTTGGGCTCACTCTTTGATTGAACGGGGATTTCTCTGGGTGTAATGAAATTTGAATGTCAATTTCCTGAAATAACTCAATAGTAATGTCGTATCGAAAAATACAATGAAACAGTTACCCCTTTCGCTTGAGGCTTGGTTCCAAGTTTGAAGAATCGCTCCTGAAATAAGCATTTCATCATGTTAGCTTTCCACTTAAAAATTTTAGATGCTATCAGTTATCAAATAACCAGTAATAACATTTTAAATTTAATTACTGTTTCACCTTATTACAGGTTAACACATGTATAAGAAAAATGAGAGTATTTTTACATATGTAATTATAATATACAACTTTCGTCGAAAAATATGCGGCAAATTTGTTCTATATTGTTTTTTTATATGCAATCTAATTTAAAATTTACTCTGACTGGCTGTATCGCCTCGTCAGATGTGGTTCCAAATTAACTGCTGAGTTCGCCAGGGTTGTTTGCTTTCGCCTTTGCTATTCAGCAATTCCTCGACTTTATTTTCTGAAACAGTGCTGACCGTGGCAATGAGGAAAGTCTCATTATCGAAAAAAGACACAGGTAAAGATATCTTGCATGATATTTTACTGACATGTGGTATGATATTGTCTTGGTGAGTAGTAGAGGAAAAGGGCTTCGTCTTCTGAAGGCTTTAATATGCAACAGAGCTGCAAGTTTTGGCCTCGTGCTTAAGATTCAGGAGTCAAACGTGATGAGGAACCCATCGGAAGTGAAGCTCTTCAGGAGGTTGATCGATTCCCAGTGCCTCAGCTCTACCATCTCCATGAACTTTATAATAGCAGATCTTTATTAAACAAACAAAATTATAGAACTTGTCAAAGTGACAATGTAATCGTTAGTGTCCATTCCCCAAAAGATTTTGCGGATTACAGTTATTCACCTATGTTTAAATTGCTAATATTAACAATGACTCAGAAAAGTTCCAAATGTTATTGAGTTTACCTTGAATTTAGCCAAGGAAATCATGGATTCTCGTAGAAACTCTTTTTTGGATGGTCTCCTTCTTTTCTGAAGTAAAACGATTAGGTTAAAATGTTTCTGGCCATTGCAACAACAATGACATCATCTTACCACCGTCTTTCTTTGGAGCAGGCGACGGCAAACAACGAACAGAATTCCGCTGCATATCACAATTATAATCGCCACAACGATGCCGAGTTTCACAAGGGTTGTGTCATCACCTATAAAACATTTTTAAAAAGTTAATAATTAGATGATTATCGAAATATTAAAAACGCGAGATGCAAATGAGATGGAGTCAGAGTTATGATACTGACATCTTCTTCACAGGGGTACATATGGTCAATTATGCAAGCACAGGCTCGATGGTACTTCCGCATCCATAGTGTACACTACATCTAGCGTTGCTTCATTGGACAGATCAGTACCGAGTTTGTCATCAGTAGTGTTTCAAGGTAGGAGGAGGTGCTGTTTAAATCCTTTCATGGCATATCAAAGATTGGTGTTCATTTACTCTAGATATGAGAATGAGTATATAATTGGAATGCCATTTGCCAAAGGACCTTAAAACTTGCTTTGGCTGCAGTTGTGTGCTTTGTATATTCTCCGCAGGGGTTGAATCCATATCATTAATATTTCGCAGCAATAAGGATGTAATTAGAAGCAAGGATCCTCATCGTCCTGAATTTAGCGACCTAGGGTTTCGCTCAATAATGATAGTGATAGTAATACAGATCATTTGTGAAAGAAAGGGCCATGAGGCATGATGTTTATATCTGGTCAAGCAATAGCGGTGAGATGCCGTTCATAGAGAGTACGTTCTCACTGAAAGCTGGCTTCTTAGAACTCGAAATAATGAATAGACCACTACAGAAATGTCTGAATGGTGATAGTGTCAGATCAACGGTTATGCGACTTTACAATATAACCTTCGATTCTTCCAGCGGATTTACATTTTCGCCTGAACCTATAAAGTAAAATATGCTTTGTGTTAATGCGTGAAGTAATAGAAACATTAGAAAATTGTCAAGAGAAAATATTCATAATAGGTTGGCTAAAGAAGTTATGGCCATACGCCAAGCCGGCCAACCATGAATGCCATCTTTACTTTAATAT